GGGGTCTAAAAGAGATGCAGAGTGAACCTGTGGCTCATTAGAATGAGCTGCCTTCAGTTTCATGTTTCAAATCCTAATTTTTAGGTACATTTCTTGGCCGTGAAATTGGGAATCTGAAAGTCAAATGCCCAAAAGGAGTAACAGGTAGCTGTGAGATCCTGTAGCACACTGGTATGAGCCATGCGTTTAAGCTAAGCTCAAGAGTTTATTGATTCAAATCCTGATCAAGGCCATGTAGTACTTTTCATGTCCTTGTTATGAGGAATTTTTACTATATGGGACTCCTGAGAGAAGGAGCAGCCAACAACAGGTTGTTCGACCTGCGCTGGGTTTCCTGAAAGCATCTTGGCACAAAGATGGTTCTTGAATGGTAGCGAAAGCATCACTGAACACTTTACCAGTTAGATTATCTTAATGCTAAGATGCTTTTGGGAAACTGAGCCCTGAATATTTAAAAGCAATAAGCCAGACTTTGATTGCTTTCTCCTCCTGTGTCTTCCTCTTCTTTCTCACTGTTCCTCTAACCCAGTGGTTCCCAAACCTGGTCCTGGAATACCCCCTGCATATTTTAGTGTTTCCTCTGTTCACAACGCACCCGATGCAACAAATCAGCTCATTAACAAGCCCTTCATGACTTGAAGTAGGTGTGCTGGGAGCAGGGAACATTAAAATGTGCACAGCAGATGGTACTCTAAGACCAATGTTGGGATCCTGTGCTCTTACCAATGTTAAGTCCATCTTCACACATCATCAGCACATCAGCAATTCTGGTCAAGAGCTGGTGCTCAATCATCTTTTCTCAAGTGATCCTGGTTTAATAACTAAACACAAGTAGAAACATGGTCTGACAATCACACAGTCTCAAATATCAAAACTAAATAAATAAATTAAAATAAAAAGTATTGGAATGTACTCTGGCTCACTGATAGGTGCCTCATCAGATAGTTCAAATTCGGATCAAGACAAAGATAGTCTACAATCTTAAAAAAACGAAATTACCCAGACTTCACCCTCAGTCTTGCTGCCCTGGGTTTCTGATAGAAGATGAAACATGCACCAACAGCCTGAATATTTAAACCTGCTCCTCTCACCAATGCAGCTTGAGCACATCAGAAATTGTGATCTGTCATCTCTTTCTCAAGTGATCTTGAAAGCATGTCAGCTATGTTTCTGTGGCTTGTTGGTAAAACTTATACTTATGAAAGTTCAAATCCTGCTCATGACAGCTTTTTGCATGTCTTCACTGTGAAGCCGGGAATCTGAGAGATAAATGTCCAAAAAATAAAAGCATTCAAATAGTGTGAGATCCTGTGGCTCCCTGGTAGATGCCATACCTCCAAGGTCAGGAGATTGTCGGTTCGTATCCCGAACAGGAACTCCAGGTCATGGTGGCAAAGATGTGAGAGGCACACAAGGTGTGAGGAAGGCCGGAGGGCAAAAGGCACATGAGCTGCGAGGAAGGCTGGTGGGCGATACCTGAGAAGGGGGGGAAATAACCCGGGCTCCCCCCTGGGCCCCCAGAGAGATAACAGGAAGGGGTTATGAAGCTGAAAACAAGGGGTTTGACTTAGTTTTTAAATACAGGCTTGTATTTTAAAAACTATCACCTCAACTTTCCTTTCTGCTTCACAAACACTTGTTCCTTTCTTTCACTCCCTTCACACTCCTCCCATGCTTTGCCCTTACCTTTCTTCTCTCCTGCTTTTCAGCACCATGACCAACTCAGAGCACTAGCCAGATTTAAACCAGCAACCTCCAGTTGAGAAGGCATAGCTTTTCCCACAAAGCCACCAAGTCTCACACACAACAGGCTTTTTTTGGGGGGGTTTGTCTTGAAGTTTGCAAGACAGCTCTAAACTCCCAGAAAAGTTCCTTTCACAAATGTGTCCACCTTGACCATGCATAGTTTGTTCTAGAACAGACACTCAAGCATCCGTTCCTGAAGCGATCCTGGTTTAAGACACTCCTAAATATGAGTTAAAGGAACTCAAAGCTTATTTTTGCTCACTTCCTAGAGGTCTGATTCTCAGCTGGTTCACTGTGGCTTTATATAGACTGAGTCAGACTGAGTATAAGCTTGGCTTTATGTGCTCTCGCTGCAGAGGATCAGTAATTCATAAGATAAAGACCTGACTTGGAGAAATGCGGCTTGTGGTTTCAGCTGGTTTACTGTTAATGAGGTATTGTGTGATCAATGTATTTGTATTGTAAGCTTTAGCCCAGCAAAGAGCTTGAAATATCTGTATGAACCTGAAGGCACCAGAGTAGGCCTATTAGCATCGAGTTGAGACAGGTTCAAACCTCAGTATTCCAATGTTTGGCTTGGATTTGTTTGGTTTCATATCACATAAACCAGTCCAGCAACATGTCCCCCACAAAATAAGAGGGCCACCACACCACCTCACTGTAGGGGGTGAAACATTCAGACCTGTCCCATTCACTTAGTGTACATTTCTCAAATATTTGGCTTGGGTTTGGTTGGTTGATTGTTCCTCAAGAAGTCAGCTGCTTGAAAAGGTAGACTGTTTATGACTATTTTGATGGTTTGCTGAAATTTCAAATTTCAAAACTATACAGCACAAAACACTCAACAACCATCTCTGGGCAACTTTAGAAGCATCAGTTTGAAAGTTAATAGGACAACCAACACGATAAGCCACTTAAAATTATAAAATGGCTACAGTGACTGTACAATTCAGGGCAAAGTTATTAGAATGCAATATATGGCTTAAAATAATCAAGCATTCAAAATATTCTATCTACAGATTTATGTAGGGAACGACCTATAAATTTGTGGTATGGTGGTGTGAGCATCTCCATTTTTGGGGTCTCGCTTTATTTGGATTGCCCACTATAGTCCCTTATAGATTTTCTACAGATGTTCAAATTGTTAACAAAATATCTGTTATATCTCCAGGTTGGCCTGGGAGCGGCTTGGGGTCCCCGGGAATGAGCTGGAGGAAGTTGCGGGGGACAGGGTCGTCTGGGATTCTCTGCTCTCCCAACGACGATGATGATGATGATGATGATGAACTCTAAACAGTGGTGGGGTTAGGGTTGGGATTTGGACCTGGGCTAGGGCAAGGACCAGGGTGAGGGTTGGGTTTAAGTTTTTGGGTTGAGGTTAAGGTTAGGGTTAGGATTAGAGCCAGATTTAGAGTCAAAGAAAATTATGGTCAATTTAGTAGACATTTAGTTGAATGTAACTTGAAAGTAAATTAATACGAAGTATCTATATTGGACTATCCAAATAAAGTGTTACCAAGTCTTACTTTATTTGGATAGTCCACTATAGTCTCCTTTTGTTTACTTGTTTTATTTTAATTACATAATTTGAACTCCAGCTGGCTTTTACATCGTATGTAAATTTTATGATGGGTGGACCAATAGAAATGCTCCAAATTTTTTTCCATCTCCTGAAAAGTTACCATTTTTTGGAGATATGAGATTTGATTGCAACAGCAATGATGCAGGCACAGTAACACACCAACAGCTTGTTTAATCAGGGTATAAAGAGAGGCTGAGAGGTTCAAAATGATCATATAAAAATGGTAAAATAGAAGACAAATATTAAATATGGCCACTTTTTCAAATCTTTTATCTGGTCTCCTTCTGTTTTTCAACACTGACTGAAATGGATTTAAGCAGTGACATGAAATCAATTCACCTGTTTCAAGAAAACCACAGTCCCTTGTTAGTTTACTGATTACTTTCCTAGCAATGTAAAGGCTTTTGTCTAAAATACTAATAAGCAAGTTCTATAAATAAGGCTATACTTAGTGTTCCCATTCTACGTGCTATTTGTAAAGAAATAAATGAAGTACACATAAATGTTTCAGATATTTAATTAAGTCTGTCTATATGCCTGTCAATCTGTTTATTATTTTCAGAACTCAAGCACTTGGTCTGGGATTCACATTCCAATAAAAACAAAGAAAAAAATCAAAAATCAAATTCAACCTACAGGATTAGACTGAGCTCTTGGGCGGTGCTGCAGCAGTGCAATGAAGTGTTCTAACGTGATGTCACCACCAAATAAAAACAACATGGGGATTTTCATGATGCACTCTTTGTAAATGATGCACGCCAGTGAAGCGCTTCTTTCAAGGACATCACTCTGCAGCAATAAAACCAAAAGCATCTTTTTCTAGATGGCTAACGAGTTTTCAATTGCTTCAGCAGAATCCCCAAAACAGACTATACATTTTTAAAACAGCTCATCTAAACACCAAATTACGTTTTGCAAAATAGATTTTGGATCAAAAATGCCCTAACACGCCCAAAATCTTTCACACAAGCTTGAAAGAAAAATCAGGACACACTAAGTGAAATGAGTTAACAAATCCTGTACAGTTTAAATATATTATTGTTTATATGCTGAGGAATATATGCTGAGTATGTGCTGCTATTTGCTGAGTGTATACTGCAGGAAAAAAAACTAACGTGGCCTGTGCAAAATTTACTGCACATTTTGTATATATTTTACATTGCAATTTGCAGACAAATGCCATATTTAAGTGACTTGTGTTAACCCTTTTTTCACTTTGACAATTAACAAAACATGTAATTTGACTGGGGGTGTTCAAACTTTTGCAATATGTTTGCAAGTTCACATATTTCAGCTAGGAAAGGCACTCAAAATACTAAAAATGATTATCATATATCAGTGTAAACGTATCACAAGTTGTCTATTGGGCTCATCTTCCATATCTTCCTATGGTCAGGACCCCCACGGGACCACCACAGAGCAGGTATTATTTGGGTGGTGGATCATTCTCAGCACTGCAGTGACACTGACCTGGTGGTGGTGTGTTAGTATGTGTTGTGCTGGTACGAGTGGATTAGACAGCAGTGCAGCTGGAGACACTCCTACCTTGTTTGTCCACCTTGTAGATTTAAACTCAGAGACAGTAGCTCATCTGTTGCTGCCCAGTTTGTGTTGGTCATCCTCTAGTCCTTCATCAGTGGTCAGTTTCTGGACACAGGATGCTGTTGGCTGGATATTTCTGGTTGGTGGACCATTCTACGTCCAGCAGTGACACTGAATTGTGTGTGATCCACTCTGCACTGTGAATGCTCCTCCACCCATTAGACATCAAAAGAGGGACATTTTGTAGCTTTCACACATTTTATTGACTGACAGTTGACATCAGCATGCGTCTGTATGATTGCGTTAGGCCCTGGAGAAAGTGTTAAAGCCCCCAGCGCGGTCGTTAAACTTCCCACCAGACTGTAAACAAAAAGATAAACATTCAAGTTTTAAGGTGTCAAAACTTCAAGTCTTAGAGTTGTAGCATCACAGCTTTTGTCAGTTGCTATCAGTCATTGATTGTTTTAGATTATTTTATGCTCCATTTGCTTGCATTGTTAGAGGAGGCTACACCATCAACCGGGAGCCGGGGATGTAGCGGGACTCCTTCCAGATGTTGCTCTCCCCGCAGTTGCTAGTCTTTCTCTTGCACTGATAGCAGCGGCGATACTGCTCACACTGGTCTATGAGCAGCCCACTGCCTGACCTGACCATACAAGCACATTTCAGTAAAACCATAAGAACCGTACAATAAAACCTTAATGCTTTTACCAGAGGAGGTTTTGTAATGAAAGTCTGACTGGCAAATATGTCAAATTTTAAGTACACTACATGTCCAAAACTGCCACCTGCTTCACCTTTAAGAGTATTAAAAGGGAGTTTGTCCCTGTTTGCTGTTGTAACACAGCCTCCACTCTTCTGGAAAGGCTTTACACTAGATGGTGGAACACTGCTGAGAGGATCTGACCACATTCAGCCACAAGAGCATTAGTGAGGTCAGGTACTGATGTTGGATGATTAGTTATAGATCACAAACGCCACTCCAACTCGTCCCAAAGGTATCAGAAGCTCCAACACTCAGAGAACACAGTTCCACCGCTCCACAGTCCAATGCTGGCGGGCTTTATACCCCTGTAGCTGAAACTTGACATTGTGTGGCTGCTCCAGAACATCCCATTTTAATGGTGATGCTCTCCTATGAAGATTATACAAGCTGTATGTGTGCAATCGAATGTCTGTGTCATCAACTGGTGCACCTTAAAGTAGCTGAATTCACTAGGTAGAAGAGGTGTCTGTATACTTTTGGACAAATAGTGTATAAGTGTAATTTCCCCAGATGGCCTGACTGAAACTAGCAAAGCGTATGCTTAACTAGAAACAACAGATTTACTAGATATTAACAAAAACTGTTAATTGTTGTTATTTAAGTGAACTTTCTCTAAGAGTTTAACGGTTTAAGGATTCATTTACACAGTTGTGCTACTACTCTGGACCATCAGCCATGTGCAGCAAATGAATCAAAGAGAGGAACAGCAAAGCTCTCTCTCAGAGGTTAAACTATAACTTACAGAATAATAATTGCTATAGATCACTACAGGTTTTTTATGGCTTCGCAGCTGCACAATCTAGAGCACCCTAATTTGAATATGCCCAATATATTTCCCACGGAAATCCACCATTAGCATGAAAGCATCGTCAGTTAGAAAGTTTTAAATGTGCTGTTTTAATTAGTGAATCTGTTCTAAAAGATGTCACTAAAGTTTCTGAAAGATTCAAGTCTTCTTTGTGGTCGTTCACCTGCCAACATTATATTCACTGATGCTTGTGGCAGTATATTTTAATGTTCATGTTACGTTAAAAAGTATATGTTTATCTTGCATGAAAATGTTGAGTGAACAGATCTATCTGTGAGATTGTACACAATAAATCACCCATGTGCTAATGTGCAAGTCAACGTCTCCGGCCAGAATCTTTGTTCTTGGCATAGGTTTAGTGAATCACACAACAGCCTATACATCACTTCTTGTTAAAATAACAATTTTTGAAGATAATATTTTACCAGCCATGGTAAAAACCTGTGCTTTAGACTGCAATCGAGTGATGTTTTGTTGCCCTATTCAAGTCAGACAACTGGTACAGGGCTGGTGTAGGTTATACACTATGAAATAAAACAGATTACAAGGCAACTATGATTGATCAGACCTACAATCTGTCTTTATATGTTAGGCCTGTCATGGTCATGAAATTTAAGCTAACTATTAACTATCATAAAAAATAACAGATTTACAATTTAATTCTTGTTTTCGCCGTGTGCAGTAGAACAGAACAATTTGGGTAAAACATCTGACTGAGATTTTTCTGTCCAACATTGCAATTGCAATTTTGTCATGAGTATTTTCTTTAAATTAAGCCCATTCATTTCTTTGGACCTCAGACTTGAACACAGAATCTAATGTGCCAGATTGCCAGTTCACAAGCTCTAAATTATGAGGTTGAATTGAGGTTAAATGCAGCTTTTGTGATTTGAAAATTGCACTCTTTCAAACTAACTTGTTAGTCCTTGTTAGTCCTAGTACAAGCCTAACGTGGCCAGATTGGCTGATTAGCCGTCTTGCTAATCAAAGTGTCCTATTTACCTTCAGTATGTTGTGCCATAAACCCATTCCTCTGAAAGATAATAACTGTGCAAAGCGATTGCAGTCCACTTAAATAAACGCAATCAGCTCAAATACCTGCCATCAGGTGATCATGTAATAATTATGATAGGCCTAATATATGAACATATGTATCCGTCTATCTGATTTTCTACATGACTGAATAGTAACAACACACCATTTGGTCATGTCTGTTATCAGGTTTTGTTAGTTTAATTAGAATAGGACAAATATTACTGTAAAATCTCCGGCTTCAGCAAATTGTAGAACGCAATTTGGTGGGAAATTGTTGCTATCAGACTGAAAACGATGCACACTGCAGATTCAAGCTGCATTAAAAGTAATCACTTCAATTACAGAACCTCCTCAGGTAAATCAAATTAGTATCCAGTTCAAATATGGCTTAAATGGAAGTCGATGCCACAAATCTACACTGTAAAGGCACATGCTCAAAGGCCCAAAGTCTTGCATATTGCTACTGTCTTCTGTACCTTTCAAAACTATTTTCTTCCTCTCTTTCTATCTGTCTGTCTCACCTGATGAAAGCTCTCTCCTCGAGGTCTCGGTGGTGTTTCAAGTCAGCACTGCGGTTCCATGTGTCCTCCAGCGACGCCCGCAGACTACGCAGCCTCTCGTAACAGGAGATTCTGTCTGCTATCAGTCTGCAAAGCAGTGAAGAGTAACAACAAACTGTGAGAGAATTCATTCATAGGCTCTGATAAGAACAAGTGGTGAGTTTGCTTTTAATGTTTATGCTGCGAAACTTTAGAACTCCTTCCCACAAGACATACTTTACATACGTCACAAATGACACTGTTCTCTCTAAACATTTCAGATTTTATTTTTGCATTATTTCATATTATTGTTTTACTGGCACTTATTTGTTATTTATATTTGTTATTTATTTCTTTATTGAAATTTATTGTATTTGCTTTTTTTAATTCACTTAGTTACAAATCCTTGTGTTACTTATCGTTATTCATTTTACATTAATGAAATGGCCATTAACTTATTCATTTTTCAGGAGGATATTTCTGACAAGATTAGATATAAGATAAATCCACTTGTATAAGGAAGGAGAACTCCAAAACTGGAGTTCAAAAAACGTATTAAAAGATAAAGAGAAAATGAGACTCTGTTAACTGTGCAAGACTTGCTAGACCAAAACTGTCACCATCAGATAAACCGTACTTAAAGCTTTCATCTTTGAGAGAGAGGAGAAAATCAAGCTCCACTCTTGATTCAGATCTGAAAACATCCCCAGGTGTTTCTGTCCATCCTTCCACCATGAGAAGACGACTCCACACTAAAAATATTTGTAGCTGTCAAGAAGCCGTTTTTGAGACATCACTGAATGTGTTTGAAATTATGTGGATAGTGAGAAGCAGAAAATGCAACCAACTTCTAAGACTGAACTTTGGAGGTGTGGAAAAATATACCTGCAGGTTTCTCAGAAAAACTGAAAGCAAGTGTCCTGAAAACAACAGAAGCTGTCACAAAGGCAAAGTGTGGACACACTTAATACTGAAAAAATTTTATATTATATTTGGTTGTTGAGGCATCTGTGTAATTTTCTGTTAAATATGTTTTCTGCCTTTTTTTAACACTAAAAAATGAATAATTTGTATTGAATGGTCATGTTACCAAGAAATCAAATAAAAGAGTGGTCTTTGACTTTTGCACAGTACTGTAAATAAAGTTTCTAGGTCATAGCTTTCTTCATTTGCAAATGCAATGAAAACGCCCTTGTTTTTTCCTACAAATCTACTATGAGATCAGGGTGAATTGAACGAAGCCTCCCCTGTTCAGCTATTAGCTCATTCTTCTGCCTGCACAGGAATTGAAGAATCCTGATGCGAATAGTAATGACAGCTGGCTCAAAGCATGTTCAAAGACACTGCTTTTACACCTGGAGCTGTATGTGAATATCATTTTCAGCTAACAAAAAGCACATTGTCATATGAGCACTGATCCTGGCCCTAAAACGTGTACTCATTGGCTGCTGAATTCGTTTCCTTTAGTTTATGTGAACAATCCCTTTCCAAGAATACATCAACACTGCTGAGTTCCAAAGAAGTGAATTTTAGGTGGGACTGCTTATGCTTTTAGTGGACTTGCCAATGTTCAATTGCACACAGCCTGGAAAAGTTTTGTTTATACCAGGTTTACATCCGAAAAAACCTGAATACAGTGCGAGCCAAGAGAACAGCTTGATCTGATCACGTTCCACACTGTATGTGCTGTGTGTGTATCGATTCATTCTTTTCTTGCTGTTCTAACAATGAATGACACAGTGGTTCGCAATCCCAGGGCTGGAAACAATAAGTTCTGTATGTTTTAATGCCTTTCTGATTCAACTTATCAGCTCTTTACACATTTTTCATGAGCTGGTTCAGGGGTGTGTTAGATGAAATGGAAACATTCAAAGCAGGGCTGTGCTGAATAAATGCCGTGTTAAATCATGGTGTAAAACCGACCTTGTATGACTGTCAGTTGCTTATTTTAGGCTCATATCTACAAAGCATCTCAGAGTAAGGGTACACATCTACACCAAATTGCCAGTTTTTAGATACCTCTACTTTGTAGCCACATTTTTGGCCATTTTATCAGGAAATCATCATCATATAGGTGCATTTTGTAGGTTTTAGGCTTGAGCCAATTAATTGCTGATGGTTTCCATCTATCGCAACTGCCAATCGAGCTGGACGACATGCCGGCTGCAGCTTTAAGATGCACAACAGTAATTCTATTTCTCTCAAAATATGTTTTCTTTTAATGTATAATGTTAGTCCATGTCTTGAATCAGCCCTTATATGTTGTCCAGCTTCAGAACATTCTGTAGCAGCGCAACATCGAAAAAGTTCAAACCATTTCAACTTTTGCTGCAGCAGATTCTGACTTGGAGGCACGTCAACCAATAGAAACATGGTCGGGCACAGGCAGAAGAAAATCCAAGATGGAGGAGAGGCCAATCAGTGCAGGGCAATCTTTCCCTGTTCTATCTGATGCCAGACTGCCAGAATTCAAAGATTCTCTGCGTCGTGCGACAGCCTGGCAGTGTCTTTATATACTGCTTTGTCAGTTTCTCACAAATGTTTCGAATCTAAATTTTCCATTAAATTTGAACTGTATAAACTCCACCCCTGCTTCAGCCATGTACATGCCTTCTATACGGACAAGATCTGCTGTGTCTACCGCTCCGTCCTTGCCTTGTCTAGTGTGTCGGCACCCTTACACTGAAAAAAGTCATGCAGCGAACTTCCATGCATGGAACACCTTCCCTCAGGAAATGGAAGGGGGCTTAAAAATATTATGTTATCATTACACCGGTTATTAAAAACAAAAAAGACAATGCGTAAAACCTATAACCTATAAAATGCAATTTATTAAAAATATAGCAAAACCTACCAAACCATATGAAAAACTATTAAACCATACCATGTATATTTTAACTCATGTTAAAATAATGGTGCTGTAATACTAATAAACTGATAAGGGCTAAAAATGCAGTCTACCTTGCACTGCTGTAGCATTAGCTAGTATCAGTTAGGCTTTATACTTCTGTGGAATCTGAAACAGTTCTGTTATTTGACTGTCTAAAGCTATACATGTCAATTACTGTATTGCATATTTTGTTATGTGGCAGTCATGCAAGTTAAGCATAATTTTGTGTGTAGTCAGATGCCCTCTTGCATGCATAGTCATTGACTCATTTATTTCATGTAAGAGATTGTGTGGGCAACCTAACAAACAGCCTTGTTGCTTTGTTACGGTATCAAATATTTATATTCTTACTTGCACTGGAGAAATGATAATTGATTTTGTTTCCTTTCCTACCATTTTCTGGCTGGGTGGCTACACATACCAAGAACAACCAAACCATGCCAAAAATGACCAGACCACACCAAAAAACCCAAATCATACCAAGAACAACCAAACCATACAAAAAACTACCAAACCTCATTAAAATCAAAGTTAGCTCACAGCTTTCTGACCACAATGCATTCATTTTCAGTTTAAGCATGTTTATTTTTAGTTGTCACATAACTTACAGAGCTGAAACAGGTTACTGGAGAAAGGTGCCACAGAGTAAGAAGAGCCTCAGTCTGCCAGCATAAGGAGCAGCCTAAAGTTCATATTTATGTACACTGAAAACACGCCTGATTGGTGTGCTGGTAATGGTAAACTGGAGATGGCTAGGGGGCGCAATCAAGACGATCGGATAGTGCATACGTTCTCACAAGCCTAACAGGTTTACGGTTACTGACTACAGCCCGTCTTTACTGCACAATTTATCAGCCCCACCTCTACACTCTACATCATGAACCAACGCAGGACCTCCACTGACCAGATTATTTAGGGTGGTGGATCATTCTCAGCCCTGCAGCAACACTGACTGGTAGTAGAAAGTCAGTGGGTGTTTCACTGTTATGACTGTATCAGTTACCGCAACGTTGCTGGAGTTTTTAAAATAACTCTTTGTGGTCACAGAGTTGTTACAACATGCAGTTTGCACAATGCTAGAAGCTTCCATTAGCCATTACCCTCAGTGTTACAGTGCAAAAATAAAGAAGGAACTAAAGACACCAAACATGTCTTGTTTCATCAAATACACCTGGGGTGAGGGGGTATTTTGTAAATTTGACTTCTGACTGAACCATCACTATAAGCAGGTATCTCCTATGTGCTTTTGTTGTGTGATTGTGGTTGTATTCACTCACTCTTTGCGGTTGCGGTGCAGCATGTCCCTCTCTGTCCTCTGCTCACTGAGGCGGTTGAACAGCGCCTCCTTCCTCTTGGTGTTGGCTGTGTTCATCTGCTCCTGGAAGAGCCTCCGTGCTCTCTGCTTCTGCTCAGCCAGTGCTTCTGGAGCTCTGTCATACACCCCGAAAACAGGGCCATCAGAGTCAGGCTGTCGAGCGGGGATCCCAGTGCCGCGATACTCCAGCTGAGGAGCATATGTGAAAACATACATACATACTCAAATTACATTTATATGTCATCATGCTGGAACAAAATCCTTATATCTCCAAAATGTTAACTTTACAGGAAAAGGAAGTGGCATTTTTCTGCAATTTTTTATGCACAATTTCTATTTATTTGCTGAGTTTAAATCTACACTGTGTAAATTTTAGGGATTTAGAGACCTCTCTGGTGGAAATGTGTAATTGCATGCAAACTGTGGAAGAACATTTTGTAACACTGGCAGTGCTTCGGAATCTTTTCCCGAAGCGGATGAATCTGATGATTGCAAGAGCGTTGAAAGAGACTCAAAAGAGAACTCAATTTTGTCATGACATATGCAATGCACTATATCGGGAATAGAAGCCATTTGAGATTCAACGACAGTCTTCAAACAGTTGATCATATGCAGTGTGCTCTTGCTTTGATGTAATGAAAACCTGCAGCTACACTGGCCCTTTGTGGAAAAGCTTAAGCACCCCTGCAGTATATATATATACATACATACATGTATATATGTATATAAAATTAGTTGATTATTTGCTCAGAATAATACAGGCCAATTTTTAATCATAACACCAATAACACTGTAATTGTGGCATGTACAAAAGTTTTGTAAAGTCTCATTTGGACTGGCCAAGCAGGTCAGGAATTGTCATTAGTTACTGTCATCTGGAGAAATTTCAGAGAGCAATGAATTCTCTGACTCTTCAAACCTTGTGCTAACACTCAACAAACATGTCAATGAATCTAGCTGAGGTTGACAAAGCAGATAAAGGCCATAAAAAGGCATCTAAGAGCCCCCAGCTCACGATTTTCACTCTCTGAAATGTCATTAACAAATGTCACTTACAAGGAACTGTGGAAGTAAAGGCAAGATCTGGAGGACCGAGACATTAATTATTTTTTTAAATAGTTTGCTGCTGAGGTCATGTTTACTTTTTTTTTACTTCAAAAATCAACAAAATATATAACTTTACCTAAACATTTGCATACAACTGTGTCACAATACTAGTATTTGGTTTAATATTGCATCATCCAGGTAGTAGCAGTACACTATGTCCTGTACTACTGACTAGAGTGAACATACTACTTGTACTAAAAATACGTAGAACACTACGGTAGTACTCAATTTCAAATATAGTGCACGATTCCGTGACTCCTTGACCACCATTTTTATCAACAGTATTTTAACAGTGTTTAACAGTTTTCAAACAGGGCGCAAATTAAGTCTGACAAGTGGGGAGGAGGGGGCCAACCTTGAGAGGGTATAGTCTACATAACAGCAATCTGATTATAAAGCTAGGCAAACGAAGTACATCTACATTTTTGCTTATTTTAACATGATCATCATATAGTAAATAACATTAACAGCATATAAAGCCATTTAGTGATGAACTTTATAACTGTGGGTCACAACAATTGGCATCAATGACTACCTAAACTGAATAACTAAACATACTGATGAAATAACAATCTATTTTGATAGCTTTTTTATAATAAACATCTGACAGCTCTTCAGCAACTTAGTCATTATGAATTAAGCAATGTCTCTGCTTTATAATGACAACAGGCAAAAATATTGTCTCTTCCAAGATAGAATTGTCTATTTCAGATGGCAAACTGTTTCTTAAAATCACTCCATAACTGGATACTGTAACGCAGATAATGTTGATACAAATAAAGGGTGTTGGAGTTAGTTTGTAGGCTGCTTAGCAAAGTGCTGATTCACACTGCCAGAGATTTTTTTAGCCAGAACTTGTACGGCATGTTCACCCATGCGATGACAGTAGTTTGACATTGTGATGCCACTGGTGTGGGGGTTTTATGGAAGATATTCTCAAAAATATGTTACTGGTAATACAAGCTATGCACTTTTTGACGACTATCCCACAGCCCCCTAAAACTATCTTTCGTAATTTCAACAAGTGAGAATGACCCCCCCACTATCCCCCTAATTTTATGCTAGTGCTCAGAAATTAATGGATGCCCTGTTTTTGTTGTTTTAGTTGCCCTTTCATTGTACCACACTCTCCCTCTTTCTGTTTGACTAAAGCTCTGCCTTTCCAATGCTCACAGCTGATGTGGACTTTCTCTTGATTGCTGGAAACACAACTCCCCTGTCTCTCTTCTCCTCTGTCCTGCCCTGCACTACTGCTTCAACCTGCACAAGACATTTCATGCACACCAATAAACTGATGCTTTATTCCCTTAACGTCAGCATACACAAAACCTTTCAGGCTGTTTACAATTCCTCCAATAAGTCTGTAAGCTCCCCAAAAGCCTACATCTGCCTTGTTGTTTTAATTCCCTTACTTGGGTGCTCAGGGCTTCCTGGAGGCTCTTGATGTTCTGCTTCTTCTGATGAAGTTCATGGGATTTTTGTTTCTCAATCCTAAAAAAAAAACAAACAAGAAATCATCTGAGAGACCAAAAGTTCTCAGAAAGTATTTTTTTGCTTAAATATTGCTCTTTGATGGATGGCTAAATATACTAAACAGTAATTCTTCTAAAATTCCCTAGAATTATTACACAAAAGGGAGATTATCTTGACAAATCGGAGCACAATGTCTGACTGTACTGAGATCTCAAGAGGAAACATATCTGAACAGCAGAAAACTTAAGTCTATTTTTTCTTTTCATCTGATCTCATTGTTGCCTAGGAGACTACAGAAATATTACTTTTTTTTTCTTTTTTTATGGGAACAGTTTTTTTTTTAGATTGATGCAGTTTTCCTTTACTCTAAAGGTAGTCTTTGAGCTAAAACACGTTTGTTGTCCAAAATTTGTTTTTATGTTTTGCACTGGAGCTTTTAGACTAATGTAGCTAACAAGTAATGAAAGCGTAACAACACTAATTAGCACTGTGCAAACTGTATGCCTTTATCGTGATACTATATTGAGTTGTTGAGTAAGTAATCTTAACTAGACTTAACTAGTTTTTTAGGTCATATTACAGCTTGCCACAATCTAAATGCTGCACTATGTAAGATGTTTTGCTAAAACTGAAAGTAGCATTACTGAGTCTGGAGGGAAAAACACATTAAAATACGGTGTGTGTGCACTGCTGCAAGTCACCCTGTAAAGCCTGAAATAATCATTAAGAAGTCAGAGTTTTTTCACACCACATCATACGTCTTTACTTTTTAACCTCTTAGGCACAGACTCTAAAAGAAGCCTCGATGTTGAGGTCTCAAATGCAAAATCAGCATTATACTGATGAAGACATGATGACAACAGTAGATAACTAACACAGTCTTGGAAGACACGTCCTTCACCAAGTTATGATGAAGTTCTCTTTGGATACTCCTTCAACACACTAGCAATCACTTGGGGAATGGGACCGAAGCACAAAACACATTAGAAAATATTCTTCCACACGTTGCATGTAATTACACATTTCCACCAGAGAGGTCTCCAAATCACCAAAACTAACATAGTGCAGCTTTAAACGTGTGATGATTTAGGCTTGCAGTTTGCACAGTGTTCATTGGTGACGTATAAGCTTCTACTACTTGTTAGCTAACTTAGCCTTGTGGCTCCAGTGCAAAATCTAAAAAGCAAACTTCGAATAACAAACCCTGATCTTGGCTGATCAATTAATTTTGGCATAAGGTGGAGCTGTGTATCTGAGATTTCTTGCCAAATGTTTGCTTTAAATTTTTCTCTCACTTACCCACATACACACTTACTCATCTGCGAGCTGGATCTGATGCAGCCGGTCAATGAGCTTGTGGTCCCGGAGGCTTTGTGTGAGCTGCTGCCTCCTGCACTCCACCTGCTCCATCAGCTCCTGCATGTATCGTCTCTGCTTTAGAAGTGCCGGAGGGGTGACTGGACGTCCACTAAAGATATACGAGCCCTAAAGGCAGGTAAGTGTGTTGTGTTATCATAATAATAAATCTGGAACCAGGTGTTCGACAAAAACAGAGGACAGGTATCTAGCCCTATTCAACAGAATTTATAGCATCTCTAATACAAACATGAATATTTGGAAAGATGACATGTATATCTGTGGGTGCATGTGTTTTATCGTTGTGGGAATAAAGTACCCCCACAGTGTGAGGAAAATATGAAAGTATGTAGTATGGAAACATTTTGCTTGGACCCCATGGGGACAAAAAGCATCTGTAGCTTTCATTTAAAGTTTAAAATGTTAAAATGATATGTGTGTGATTTCCCCCTTACTGTAAACGTAGTTAATCAGCTAAGACATGTTTGCTGTCTAAAAATTGCGTTTGTTTTACAACAGAGCTACAAAGCTAAAACTGTATGACTGATACAGGAGGGAATTTAGACCATGTTTACACCCGGTCGTTTCATTCGTCTTGAGCATCAGGATTATATCAGGATAGAGTTTATCCACACAAAAATGCAGGTGTAAATGCACCCAAGACGCATTTAAAACAGATGTAAAACAGACTGATCCAACCATTTCATGAGATGATGCATTTTAACCAGAAGTCACATATGACATCAAAACTGCTCCTGGTACTGTGACGGCACCTCCTTCTGCTGTTGTCCATGGGGGGAAAAACAGCAACTTGAGTGCCACTTGATTTGACTCAGAGAAGTTACTCCTCTAAGTTTAATTCAGTAGCTTTTAGTGGCCCAGGCTAGTTAAAATAAGGTGGCAGTTTGATTAATCTTTACTTCGCTTCTTCGTTATTCACCGTCTAGCTACACTGTTATGCTTTTATGCATGTGGTCTCTGACTGTGATGACTATACAGGAGGCTAATTACTCTAAGTAGTTGTCTTCTTGTAAACATTTGTGTATAGCCTGTGCAAGGAACTTAATGATGGCATGAAAAACTGTGATTTTTGAAGCAACAACCAGAAGAGGAAAAATGAAGAAAAACAGACAGTTGTTTTTTGTATATGAGCTAATTTACTTATTATACGCATATGGTTAAAATCTTATCAGGTTACAATTCCAATACAAGACACGTTAAACGATTCAAGACACATGTAAACGTCATTTGCACTGGTGAACCAATTTAGCAGGTTATGCAGATGATCACAGCTGTAACTTTGTAATTAACATATGATCAATGCAATATAAGCACATATTTGGCTGGCATGTTTTTTGTTTGAAAGCCTGTTTCTGCAAGTTATATAAAAAAAATAACTAAATATAAATGTCACTCGTTTAAAATGTGACTCATTTAGTTGACTTATTTTCAAGAGTTTTATTTAGTAAGTCAAAGTACTGAAAAAGACAAAAAATAAGTGTTATTACCCATCATGAAAGTATATGGTCATTATAAACATTACTATCCGTTCTGTGCTGAATCTGTTTGGAAACCGTGTGATGCTGTGAAATCCCTGTTTAATTTCACTGAGCGCATCCAGGTTGTTTGGCGACTGCATGATTTTGAGCATACCATCTTAGCTACTGGCAGCACATCAAAGAATGATGCCATTCCTGCCATCCACACACACAAATAACAGTGAACTGAAACCACAGTGAAGGAATAATGAAGCATGTATTTTAGTAAAGTTTTTACAAAGGATTGCAGAGCCAAAGAGTTTCAATATTTGCTTTTAACAAATATTAGGAAAAGAAAACTGTCAAATCAACATTGTGGCCAAAGCTGCTCACTGATAGTGTAAAATAAATCCAAAATATTAGGAAATAGCAGTTTTAGCAGTTTTCTCAAACTATTTAGTTTCAGTTTTTTGTATCCTTAATCACCTTAAGAATGATGTGAAATGGCAGGTGTTGCTCCACTGAAAATAAATGTGTTTGAAAAACTCTTTTTTCTCTCAGAGCACTAACAATGGTTAGCACGTTAGCACCATGTTAGCACCAAAATAAGACAACACAAGGGAACAAAGACGTTAAACAGAATTTTAAACAGCGAACCGTTAGTATGTACTATCAGATTTGGTAAATGGGAGAAGGTGCGTTATAATAATAATCTCCTCTCTGTCTTCTTTACTAAATCCCCATGACATCCTCTTTTTAACACCAAAATGGAGTTGACAAAATGTTAACTCATAATAGTTACTATAATGGCCCCATAATGGTTTACCAGACGAAAGTATGGACATTCAGACCTTAAGATGGCCACTACTAATGTTTTTAGCTTTGCAACATACTTATGTTCATCCATCAAGTGCAACCCACTTACGGTCATACAGGTTGAGAAACCACAAAAACAATCCTATTTGACATAACAACAGGACTGCAACAAATAGTTGATAATAATTGATAAATTTGTTAGTTAAGTTAAAAGTGTGTAGAAATAGCAAAACCATTCGAAAAACTGATAGATTTACTACTTTCATTAACCCAACTACTTTTATTATGGCACAGGAAAACAAGCATTTGTTTATCAAGCTAAATGCTAAGTTAGCTTGTCACCGGCAACACGCAGAAGCCAGCTCTACACACTGAACTCATAGGAGATTGCGATGATCAGTGGAAAATGTCCATATAGACTGCAATGAAACTAAGAGTGTGTGTATTCATGTGTGTTTTTGTGTGTGTACTACTAAGACTTACCTCAAACCGGGAGGGCTTTGCTGACTTCTTTGCTCTCAGTGCTTCAGCGGTCCCCAGATTAAATGCTGCTATTTTTTTGGTGTTCTCTCGCTTCTCCTCTTGTTCGGCCTGTCAATTCCACAGAGATGCCAAATCAACAGACTGCACATCAGGTATGTGTATGAATGGGTGTGTGCATGCATGTGTGTATTAGGCATGAGCACTAGGGGGCGACGTAATCGAATACTGTGAATGGCTGAAGTTGATGATGCTTTAAATGTGGCAGCCGCTGTGCTGGTAAAGAGAACTGTGGACTAATGTAATTTTAAACTAAATAACAATACATTCTACAAACACATAATATTTTATTGTCTTCTACTATTTACACACTGATTATTAATAAATCGTTAATTGATTTTTGCAATGGCAGAGTCCATTTTTACACGGTCTCTGCTAGGGGTTTCTCAGAGAGCAACACACCCACACTATCTGAGGACAGTGATAAACATTTCAGCCTAGACCAACACAAACTTCAGTGTGAATGGAAGGGGCTAAACTGGTGTATGCTGAATAGCTGGATATACACTATATGGACAAAAGTATTGAGACACCTACAGGAGCTTTTATGACATCCCATTCTAAATCCATAGGCATTAATATGGTGTCGGTCCCTCCTTTGCAGCTACAACAGCTTCCGCTCTTCTGGGAAGCCTTTCTACAAGATGTTGGAGTGTGTCTGTGGGAATTTTTGCCCATTGATCCAGAAGAGCATTTGTGAGGTCAGATGGTGATGTTGGATGAGTGGGCCTGGCTCAAAATCTCTGCTCTGGTTCATCCCAAAGGTGTTTGATGGGGTTGTGGTCAGGACTCTGTGAGGGTCAGTCAAGTTCTTTCACACCAAACTCACCCAGCCATGCCTTTATGGACCTCGCTTTGTACACTGGGTCACAGTCATGCTGGAACAGAAAAGGGCCTTCCCTCAACTGTTCCCACAAAGTTGGAAGCATATAATTGTCCAAAATGTCTTGGTCTGCTGAAGCATTAAGATCTCCCTTCACTGGAACTAAGGGGCCTAGGCCAGTCCCTGAAAAACAACCCCATAGCATCATCCCTCCTCCACCAAACTTTACTCTTGGCACAATGTAGTCTGACAGGTAATGTTCTCCTGTCATTCGCCAAACCCAGACTCGTCGATCAGACTGCCAGAGAAGTGTGATTAGCCACTCCACAGAATACATTTCCACTGCTCCTGAGTCCAGTGGCAGCATGCTTTACACTACCAAGCAGGACAGAAATGTGACAAACTGACTGGCAGAGGTGGCATCGCATTGCAGTGCCATGTTTAAATCGCTGAGCTCATCAGTACGACCCATTCTACTGTCAGTGTTTGTCTATCAAAACTGCAAGGCTGTGTGTTTAGTTTGATCCAGCTGTTAGCAATGGGTGTGACTGAAACACAAACTCAATTATTAGCAAGGGTGTCCCAATACTTTTTGTCTATATAGTGTATGTAAATGCTTTGTTTTTGGTACATTACAACAGTGAAATCAAAACAAGTTATTTTTGCACTTTCGCCTCCATACATGGGCCTTGTGGCTATGATAGTCAATGGTACTTTTTTAATTTTAAGTACTTATAAACTGCACCATAGTCTTTTTATAGAAGATTTTTCCAGAATATGGGCCCTTTGATGAGAACAATCAGATGTGATTTCATGTTCTGCTTTTTTCACATCAAACATCAGTGCACATGCAATCAGTCATGATCTTTCAGCGTAGGCAGTTAACTTGATGATAAGATATGCACATGTGGGAGCTTTCAGGGCAGAGGATTTGTTCTCACTAACGGCAGATATTTACAAACATGAAAGTGAACGGACAAGGCTGAAAAAACAGATCTGCAGCTTTTAGGAAAAAACAGCCACCATAAAGTGCTTGTAGTTTTCAAAAAATTGGCCCCACCTATAAGATACATCACCAGTAAGAGGGTTTTCCTAGTCCTTAAACTTTAAAACCTCATTCTAGATACTACTGCGGTACGACTGCAGGAGGCAAATAAGCATATGTACAACAGATGTAGCAATGGAAAATCTTTTTCACACTTTTCATTTTGTCCAGTGTACCTTTAATTTCACCTTTAAGCTCTCACCTGCTCTTTCTGCAAAAACTGCTCATCTTTGTGTTGTTCAGCGAGCATCAGGACTTTCTTTTCCTCCTGCTCTTCTCTCCGCCTCTCCTCCGCAACATACAGGGGCACGTTACGCTGCGCTCGCTGCATACACAGGTAGCATAGCTCCTACAAAGTTACACACACATGCACATGCAAACTGGTGAACCACATGTGGGCATCCTTGGTGGCGATCCAACTGTACTGATTTTGAATTTGAATACAGCTGATCAACTGAATACAACAGATTATAAATAAATTCTCAAGCTACTCTGAAACACAAAAACCCAAAAAAACAAAAGCTGTTTTACCATTTTTATTGTCTATATTCTAGGGGAGTCACAAGGTCATGTTAATCTTTTTTTTTTTTTCGATACAGGGTTTGCAAAATGATCTGCGCTGTGAATTGCATACAGTAGATTTAATGCTTTAAAATGATGGAAAATGAAAATAATTTCTGACCTGGAAAAAAATGGTTAGCCTACCTTGAGCTAATTTAAAGTTAGCCTCTTTTTCAAATTGTCTGTTCTACCTTAAATGATGCAGCAGAGACACTCTATAAGAAGCCAGTAAATAAGAAGTTAATTTCAGCTTTGTCTACCTTGGATGATTGATTAGCAGAATCAGAATGAGTGCAACAAATAACTTAACAGGGGTGATTTTAGCTTCCGGTTTGCACCACTATTTGGTTGGAGAGTCCTGGATTCTGCAGTTTGCTGGGAGCGACTAAGCCACATTAGATAATGCCCTCTCATTCATTTCAGCCAGAAGGTAAGAACCACACTTTATATTAAAATACAAATGAAACAGAAAATGCCAGTTTTCCGTCAACTAGCACTGCTGTCTTTTTTTGGGGAAAAAACAACAGAAAGAAAGTAAAAGCAAAATATTTTAGGATTTCTTTTCTAACTCTGTATCAAAAATTTGTTATGACCAAATCTGGCGATACGTATCCTATTATGAAATGTGCGTGTTGTTACACCTCTACTGTATTCTTTTACTGTATAAAGAGTTCACTTCTATTCATTCTAGTTACACCTGCGTATTTAGTGTATTTTTCTGCATGACACCAAAACAGTATAATCGAATCGAACCACGGTTATCTGAGAATGCCGGCCTGCTGAATTTCAAGCTCTGCTGTCTTTGAAATGTCAGACTATTTCACGGCACTTGGCTAAAGCTGTCACAGAGAGCCACTGTGATTAACCCCTGTATAATGTGCGCTGCACAGGGCTTATGCTCAAATGGTAGATTCCCTGCTGCAGTGATGATAGTGCGTGCGCTATCTGTTTAATCGATTAATCGGGAGCGTTAACGCGTCAACATTGATAGCCCTAGATATAATGCATTTTTTGCTAACTTTAGAGGGGCTTGGATAATATTTTCCTGCTTTGGGCTTTCTGATCTACACTAAGGCCCTGACGTGCAGATTATGGGGGATTGCTGTCACATGTGAGGAGTGGCTAGTACCTGCCATAAATTCCTCTAGCTTTTTTAATATTGCTGTAGTCCTCTTAATAACTTCCCTGAAAAGTTTTCTTTGTGTCCTGTCATCAACTTGTGAGGATTTTCCAGATCTTGGTAATGTCTGTGTGGTCCCTCCTATTTTCCATCTATTGATGAGAGTCTTCAGAGGGCCTTTTAACAGTAAGATTCTACAACCTCTTTGTGAGCTCCTCATGGACCACAGCTATCCCAGAAGGAGGCAAACATGAAAAAGTCAAGAACAGCTACAGGAAGAGCTTATTTTTATTCAGGTTAATCATAATAACTTTCACTGAGCCATTTGTATTTTGAATGTGATTTGCAGCTACAAGCTCTATTATAAAGGGTGTGTTCACATTTATGCAAGCAGAGAACTGTACGTTTTTTTTTTACATTTTTTCCTGATAATTAACTATTACATTTTGTGGGTAGCAAGGATCCCATGAAAGAGAGGAAAAAAGATTCTTAATCTCCCGCTTTATATCACAAAAAATGCAATTTCAATAAAGGTGTGCAGACTATTTATATCCACTGTACACTCCCTGAAAGACCAACCTGAAATATCACAACAGAACTTTTTATTCTTTTTTAAATGCTCCCAGACGGATTTCTTAGATGTGTTCTAAACCAGCAGTGCCCAACCCTGGCCCTGGAAAACCCAGTAGTGCATATTTTAGCATTTTTCCTACTCTAACACAACTAATCCCACTAATCAGCTCATTAACAAGACCTTCAGTTGAAGTGGGTGAGTTAGAGCAAAGAAAACATTTAAGCCTCTAATTTAAATAAAGAAATGGAAAGAATAAATACATAAATTGAGGCTTACCTGTCCGGCTCGAGCGTGGTCATGACAGGCCGGATTAGAGGAGGGTTCTTCTCTCTTTACTTCCACTTGTTCAACAGCACCATCTGGTGGCTGAGAGAATCCAGCATGTCTATATATAAGGAGGAGATATGTCAGGTTTTTGTCATCTCTTATCTTTTACACTTCAAGGAAAAAAGAACAAATTTGTACAGTGTACGTTTTGCTGTTCCAAGTTAATGAGGTACAGCATCTCATATAAGGTACAGTATATCAGTATATCATATGCTAGCTGCACACAATAAATTATTGCTATCTTTTGTGTTTTTATTCTTAACAATATCAAATTAATTCTTGCTGGTATGTCAAATATTATGTGTTTAAAATGTGCAGGTATTTGAATAGTAACAATGGTTAAAATGCTCATCCCTAGAACTTAATCTGCTTAATTAATTCACTTCAGCAATAAAGTGAGTGTAGTTTTTATACAGAAATTGATTTTTTTGTGTCAAAAGACACAACCCATTTGAAGAAATAATTAGGTGGTTCTCTGTGGTACAGCTGAAATCCCACAAAAAACCTTTATCCTTTATTTTTTTAAGCTGTAGCTAAAAGACATTAAGATGCTTAAAAAATGCGATTATGTGCTGGACAGAATAACAAATCAAAGTATTTTTAGCTTCAAAGGAAACTTCCCGCTCTGAAAACCGGACGCAAAACTGAACGGAAAAATGGAAAAACCACATCAATATTTCATGAATTCTCCTAAACCTGTGTGGCAGAGAATGAAAGTCAGTCTATCAACGTGTCTCCCACTGAGTGGTAATCTAAATCCAGTCAGTCGCTGCACTGAAAGCAAGCACAGCTCAGCTTTGCCGTGAGTGCTAGTGAATGGCCCTCTAATGCTCAGCATGTATAATGCATCCAGGAGCCCAGTCTGCTTTTCACTGTGATGTAGAACAACGCTGACAGACAGCAGTGTCCTCTACAGGGTTTTCATTTTCAGTGCTGGCAGAATTGGGCTGCACGATGTGGACGAAGTACTAGCAATGCAATTACGGCTACAGACAGCACTGTTTTTTTTCCAGTATTTAGTAAGCCCAAATTTTGCCTCCATTCTTTTTGGGAGACTTTCTTTCAGTTTATCTGCAGAGATATTTTTTCACACCTCCAAAGTTCAGCTTTAAACAGGGTTCAACGCAAACTTTTTTCCGATCAAACAAAACTGCTCAAATTCCTGCCACTTAATTGTATTTCTGTTTTATTATAAATACATTCACATTGAAGTTATCAATAATCTTAACATTACCATTTGCATAGTAAATATTACCTTACATCTGTGAACTTTCTACTTCTAGTTTAGAACAAACTAATACTTAACTACTGGTATGAATGTAAACACAGAGGTATCCCTCAATTTGCACATACTGCAAAGTCCAATATTCCAGTATCAATCAACAAATGATATACTGTGCAGGCCTGTGGCAGAGCCGCTATTTCTCTTGTTGCTCATGTTTGCTGTTAGAATCTGACAGTAGTCATACTGGTTCTGTGACAGTTTAAAGGCAGTCTCTATAGAGATCTTAGGTTACACAGACCTTATTTAACTCAGGACAGGACTAGACTCTGCGGGAGTCTAGTCTACCCATGTGACGCTGGTTTGATGACAGGTGAACACCAAGCCCATATACAAAGTCTGCACGACTGATCTAGACGCCCAAGGGTTGTAACATTAAGCCTCTAGGTCCTCTGACCTAACGCGCATTTTTCTAAGCAAGAAAATCAAAACTATTAAAAAATATTTGTGAATATTGCTGCTGGATCGTTTCCACCAAACAAAACGTTTTACACAAGTATATCCTGTCCTGAAGCTATATAAGTCTGGTTTTATCCAATAATAACATTGTGTTTGACACCTTTCCATCAAGAATTTAATGTCAGTGTTCACATACTTTATTTATTTGGCTTCTCTGGTTTTTCCATAGCTTTCTGAAAAGAGTGACGATAAACAGACAGAATATACAGGGAATTGATACTTATCAGACAGTTTGTGATCACATCTCAGCTAATCGCCACACATGAGAACAGTCTTTATTTTATTTAAATGACCTATTCGCAATTGTTATGTTAGTAAATGAAAGGTTCCTCCTCTGTGGCAGTTATTCTTTTTCCTGTTACCTCCATTCTCCACTACATTGTTTTGCAATGTGTACAATTTATCCACTGAAGTGAAACAGAATAAAGTTTTGCTGATATTTGAAACATGGAACAGTCAATTGCCATTTCCAGCTAAAAAAAACACATTTTCTGCATCAGACCTCTCACATGGAAACCTGTCTGCTAATTTACTGAATGTAGGAAGTTTGGCCTGTTTCATTAATGCAGCTCTGCAACGTTCATTACTTTCTATTTTTATTTTGATTCGTTTTTGTTTTTATTTTTTTAGGTTTTCAATTTCAGTTTAGTTTCAGTTTGTTTTAAAAGAGCTTTTTAAAGAAGATTTTAGTTTATTATAGTAAACATTTTACCAGAACAAGGTCAAACTCAAAGTAAATCCATATTGAACCTTCCAATGTTGTTTCAATGAAGTGCTTAGCAAGACTGAAAGCTTTACGCCAAGACATCACCATCTCCTGGGTATTTAAAGTCTGATGAGGAGTGCTTCATGCACTGTAAAAACTACAGTGCTTTTCTCTGAATTAGTTTTAGTTAGTTTTGCAGTGTACATTAAAGTTGATTTTGTGTTTTTGAAACAGTCATTTTCATTTTAATACAGTTAACAAGTAATTTTTTCACTGCTAGATTTTAGTAGTAGTTTTCATTAATGATAACAACCCTGGTGTCCTCAGATCTTCAGTCATATCTTTTATATTCACTCTAACAATTGGGTCTAACGTACCTTTCTGGATCTGGTAAAGCCTTGGCATCTGGTTCATCTGTGGAGAGGTCTGCATTTGTTTTAGCTATGGGTAGCCTGGACTTGGGTTGTGCTGAGAGTTTGATCTCTACAAACCACGACCACACACACACACACACACACACACACACACACACAAGAATCCAAGGTTAGTTCCTCAAACTCAAAACCAGTCTAGTGTTGCACTTTAAAATTGCCTCATGCACTGAAACTTCTTTTTCATTCTATTAAAAGGCCTGATTAACACCGTTTTTCTTCTCCTCTTCTCTGTCATTAGGCTTGGCTGGTGGGTCTGTGCTTTCGTCCTCATCTGCCTCTCTTGGTGACTCTCCTGAGGAGATTTTGGGGAGCAGGATGGCATTGCTGGTCATGGGTCGTTGGAGACTGGAAAGTTTCCCAGAAACTACAGAGCAGCTTGTTCCAGGTCTCTGCAAAAACAAGTTCAATGTTTCTACTTAAGAGCAAATTAGGAAGCCACTTTTCAACTTCCTGTCTTTTGGCTTTTGATTAGTAATTTTTCACAAAAGCATCAGACTCTTGGCATGCCTTAATAGGGGACTATGTTGTCATCACAAATGGCTTTTTAAAAATATGTCAGGTCAAAATCTCATCTCAATACTATCATAAAACATCTTCTTTGGCATCAGTCAGCATATTCAGAACCATTCAATGTGTCAATGTTTTTGTGAAATAACTTTAATAGGCATTAAAGACTATGGACGTCTGGTTTCTTTCATAATCACCGTGAACAGTTCTGACTCTGAACCATTTCAATTGAACTATTTATCTTTAAATGTTTTCACCACGTAAAAAAGACCTGTTTTAAAATGTGTCAAAATACACATAAAAAATAAAATACACAAAAATACTTAACTTCAGACCCACCACTCTTAGTCACTTTACTGAAACACAAATTTTAAACCGCAGATTTATGTATGCAAACATAGCCAATGCGACTCACGTTGGTTAGGGCCCATAAAAGTTTCCCAGTGCCATCCATGGCAGAGATAAAGTCCTTGTAGAACTTCATCTTGACGTTGCTGTGGTGGAACGAGAGGACACCAATGCCTCTGAAGGTGAAGACAACAGTGCGCTGGGTGGAAACAGCACGGAGCAGCAGGAGAAGCGTCTCCCGGATGCAGCCCTCCACCACGTCCCGGTCAAACGGGCTCTCCGTGGACAGGGCTGTGAAGTTGAGCGGCACCACTGGAATGTCTCCTGCTGTGCCATCAAGCATTGCATTGTTAGAATGTTCATTGAGACCTCTACTGGCCCCCTGTCGCAGCCTCTATTATTCACTCAGCAGGCTTCTCTAAAACTGCTTAAACTCCCTGCATGACAGAGTTTAGTGTTTTCCTTGTTTTAACTCCCCAGTGTGTTGAACCGACTTATCAGCTAACTACTGAGCCCTTCATGAGTTGACCCCAGCGTATTAAAGCAGGGAAAACACAAAAGCGTGTGGTGCTGTGGACCTCTAAGAATGCAGCGGGATTCGACTGGCTTATACTCTGGACCAAACAGAGCGTTGTTAGGGACAGTTTACAAAGATTTTGAAGGGCAAGGCTAAAGCATTTTTTCATAGGAAAACTGTACAATGAATGTTTTTTGTAAAATTACTTTTTTGTAATTCAAGTTACTAGGTAACTAGCAGTCTGGGATTCTGAAGACTGTGTAGTGCTGCTATTTTTATTCGTTTTATTTGTGGACATACAACACTGACAAAATCCTGGTTACCTACAGCTTGTATTTAGTAATGCATAGAATCTGTTTAAGATATAAAACTTTATGAGTAAAAGAAACAACCTGCATTTAAAACCTGCCCTTTCATTTTGAAGTACAGGGTGATTCAAAAAGATGAATCCGATTTCAAAGCGCCATATTTTTACAACCATGAGGCGCCTGGGAACCAATCACATACCAATTGAAAGAGGGGGTCACAGAGTTTCTGGCTGTCACTGGAAGATGGCTCCCTTCAGTCTCTGAGGAGATGGCGACCCCTGAGCAGAAAGCGTTTTGCGTTCTCTACTTCAATAAGAGTGAATCTGTCATAACTGTGCAACGTGATTTTCGTCGGCAGTGAACCTCCAACAGGTCAGAGCGTTCGTCGTTGGTTCTACAACACTGGATGATCTCCGAAATTGCACTGAAAGAGCCATGAGTGCAGCGACACCCAACATGCTCAGTCGAGTATGGGATGAATTTGACTATCGTGTTGATGTTGTCTGTACAGCTGGAGGAGGTTCACATTGAGCACTTTTAAAATGACATAATAAACTTCATGCTCATTTAAACCATTCACAATTTACTGCATTGTTCTGTAATGATTTACAAGTGAAATAAATCATTTTGAAATCAGATGAATCTTTTTGAATCGCCCTGTACTTTGTAGGATTTGAGTGCAATAAAGAGGTGTCCTTAACACTCAAATTGCTATAGAGCTCATGCTAAGTGCTCCAGTTGCAAGAACCAAACATAAGTAACCAAGCATAAGCCAGTCTTTTGGTACTGGCCAATGTGATACACTCACCTGCAGCAAGAGGTTTGGTCTGTTTGAGGCCATGAGACTGGGAAAGTCTCTCAGATAAGAGGAAGACGGGACGCTGAATGAGCACATACTTGCTGCCCACATCAAGTTTCATCTGAGAGAAGGTAAATGTTCCCAAGCCAGAAATGCACACCCCCTAAAACACATTAGACCTGATTATGATGGGACCAGGCCTGGAACTTCAGTTTATGTCCTCACAGTTTTTTTTAGGAACCAGGAGTTGCAATTTCTACATCACAAATATAACCACTTCATTTACTATCCAAACGACCAGTGAAGCTACACGTCTTCTGAGTTTTTATACGTAATGTTGATGATGGTCAAATAGTGGGAAATCTTCAAAAATGTTTTTTTTTTTGGACTATTTTGCCTCATGACATCCTGCACCTCCACCACGAAAGTGTTCAAATAAATGGCTTAACAAGACGTTTAAAGTTTAACTTGAACTTTATCACAAAACTATCATAAAACAGTGTGTCAGACATCCACAGTGCATTCATAACCATGACTACTTGTGATGTAGCTTTAAGAATCACTAAACTCTTCAGACGTCTGGTTCCTATCACCACCACTATGAACAATTCCGACTCTGTAAGTTTCTCTAGAACAGAGTATTTCACACCAAACCACTGTGAAGGACTTTGTTTACATCTCAAATCACTTAATTATATGGAACTTTCAAAAAACCGGTGGATTTCCCCTTTTACGTCCAAAGTGAAACTTCTACCATTTGGATGTTTTGCCCATTCTGACCACGGCATCCTCTCACCTTCTGCATGGTCATCTGGCGCTCGATGAAAGATGCCACGTTTGCCCAAATAGCTTCCACATCTGCGTAGGAACAGAACCTTTAATCATACTTTGTCTAGGAATATTTTATCTTTCGCTCTTTTTTGAGAGACAGCATCAGTGCACATATTACACATTACACTGAACTGCATGACTGAAGTCGTTAACTAGCAGAGGGCGCCGAGTTACCGTGCTCGGTCAGCCGGGCGAGGGTCGGGAAGGCGTTCCGCTCCGACACCACGGCGAGGAGAAAGTCAGTCATGGCGAGAAAAACAGCTCAGAGTCGCGCTGGCAGACAGAAACCAGCGCTTTACTGCACTTTAGTGTGATTAACGCTGACCCCGTCGTCTTCTCCAGCCATTCTGTGGATAAATCTGGCGGGAAATGCGCTCTCGCGCTCCTTCTCGAGCTGTAGAACGTTCCTCTGGTTGCTATGGGAGGACGTCACAATAAACTCAAACCCCCAGCAATGCCACTTTCCTCTATTCTCTCATTCTCTATACGGAGTCTAGTGGATACTTAAAGAAGTACAGAGTGCGGCCACATCCAACACACTGTACTTCAGCACTTAACCGCCTCAAACTGGGCCATTTTACACTGTAAACCCTGACAAGTTCAGTTCACTCAAACTTTCTGAGGTAACTCGTTGCCTCAAATGAATTAAGCCTTGAAAACTACACATAAGTTGAACACACTCCAGTTGAACAGTGTAAGTAAACATGACCCAGACTACACTCCCGTAGAAACTTGGGCTTTTAAGCTAAAGTAACTCATACAATGTTTAACTCATTTTTACATCAGTGACATTATTATAATTATACAGGTTGAGATGTAGAAAAAACTATCAAAAGAGCTTTCAGTTACATACTCTTACACCAACTTTGCTAAAACTACTGACCAAGCAGCAAATTCAGGTGTATTGTTACAGCTACACTGACTACTCAGCAGAGACACTAAACACATTCATGGTTAGAGTGTCAAAAACATGTAAAGTGCACCCAAACTTGCATTTAAGCATATATATATATAACGTGAATGTGTTATTTGTTTAAAAACAACATCTGTAGGAAAAATAAGAACAGAAATCAGCTAACTTGCTAGGAATTCTGCGCGACACTGACCCGTACTCTCTCAGTTCGTGGGTTTTTTAGAGTTTGTTCTTCTCCCAAAAATAAGTACACTTGAATTTTCAACCTGGCAGTACAAACAATTCGCCTGGATTGAGGGATAACAACTGATAGCATGAAAGTAAATCATTATAATTTGATAGTAATTTAAGCACAAATAACGTCAGGGCTTTCAGTCTATAAGCGGAACAATTATCAGGCCCCAAAACAAGTACAATCACAACAGGCTGTCTGTTTTCTTCCCATTTGTCATGTCATAAGTCAGGAAGTGGTCTCCTTCAGCTTCTTGCCTGTTTAGTAACACATTTTTTTATTAGGCTCAGACTTACAAGAACTCAAGGATCAATGAGTTTATTTTTTTGTTTGAATTGGCCAAAATCTTCTCACCTGACTGGTCTTCTACAAAGCTGCCATCTCATAATTACCATGTATAAATTGAAGAGTTAAGTGATATAAAACTGCGCTACACAACGCAAATTTTAGCTATATAGAGTAAAAACAAACTATAGCTAACACTGATGTGATTGTTTCAAAATACTTTATAGAAATATGAAAATAATCTGTGAAGTTTCTTAAAATTCTTCAAATAGTTGGCTCTTCATCTAGATAACATTCATCCTGTATAGTCAGGTGGCCTATCCTCTTTTCTTTGCCCCACAAACTTAAAGTTAGCTAGCTAACAAGCAACCGGCTAATAACTTGATAGCCAACTATGTTGACCATAATTTGCACAAATCTATACTGTAGGTAGATACTTTGCTCTGTGACTACTTACTGATTCAGACTGTATATTCTACATTTTAAATAAGGCCTAATTTTCATTTTTGTGAGCTTTTAGCCAAAATCCTGTCACAACTTCAGCAGTTACTGACTGGCATTACTTTGCAGAGTGAGGAGCACCAGAGCCCCACCCCCAGGTCTGATATGACTGGCTTACAACTTAAGAGGTCTGATATGATTGGCTGAGCTGGCATTACATGGTTCCCCTCCTGTTATGTTAGAAAGTCTCAGGTGGTACCAGAGAATTTGTAGACAGGAGAACTGCCACTCAGCAATGTCTTCCAGGTTTATCAAACACTAAAGGGCGCCCAACAGCAAGTCCAAAATTAATGGATTAATATGGAGCATTTGAGCAAAATACAGAACGGCATAAAACATGTTAACACCACCGTTATATTTTGGAAAACATCTTAATTTCAGTTATAGGACTAAATTAAGATGTTTTTTTAGGATATCTATGACATCTGTGAGCGCGAACCACTTCACTCAGCCAATGAGCTGAGCTCTAGCGTCCTACTGCACTTATCATGTTTGCTGTAGAAAAAAAAGGAAACATACAGGTAAGTTTTCTCTTTTTTAGTGAACCACATCCCTCTATTTTCTATAATTAAAAGAAAGGTTCTGGACAAGTGGTTAGAAACTATTTTAACGTTTCGTTTAGCTCCATTCACCCCTAATCATTGAGGACTCGCTCTTAGGTGCTCTCTGGCATTTTGCATGCATGTTTTGATATAAGAGAAGAAACAGGAAATGGCCAGGCTCCTCATAAAATGGCTCTGGTAGTACCGCTGAGGCAGTGATGTATTAGAACAGCAGCAGCGTCTCCCCCATTTTGCACCCTACTATCACAATATATTGTGAACTAGGACATGGTTTCTCAACCACTGGACTGTGAACCACAACTGGGCTGAGAAGCACCCTCTGGTGGTCCTTGAGCCAACACTGAAGCGGAGGAGGTGGTCTGTAGTGAGCCGTCAATGGCACTTTGTTATAAAAATAAATAATTGACTGAATAACAATTAGCAACAATGGCACACAAAGCAGCTTCAACTATTTTTTTGCTCTATGTCTCTAGAAACAAAATACACTCAATCGTCCACTTCAGCAGTGGTCCACTCGTGAGTGTGCAAAAAATGCACTGCAGAAACATTTCACTTAATTTGGCACCATTCTGCCTGATTTCTGATATAAAACAAACTAAAAACCCCTAAAACTGGCTTAGTGAGGCCCATGGCCTAAATTCATACTTAGATAGAAGTATCTTCCAAAAAACAGCTTGAGGTACACAGGTAATACTTAAAGTAACTTAGGCTAGTGCTTCCCACCCCTGGTCCTGGAGGCACACTGCTCTCAGGTTTTAGTGCTTTTCTTGCTTTAACACACCACTTTAACTCAGTGAGGAGATTTTAATGATCTGATTTGTTGGATCAAGTGAGTTGGGAGCAGGAAAAACACTAAAATGTGCAAGACAGTGTGCCTCTAGGACCAGTGTTGGAAAACACTGAATCAAAAATGCCTACTCCCTATGTAGTGCACGATACACAGTCATGAAAACCAGCTTCTACAGTCAAAGAGCGCATTATTTGTCAAATAGAGAGCCATTTATATTTGGCCTTTAGCTGCATGACTTCCTATGCAACACTGAGAGCACTATTTAGGTGAAGAACACATCATTTCTTGACCTATGCAGTGCATTATATAGAGAGTAGGGAGCCATTTGAGATTCAGCCACTGACTTAGGCTATGACACTGCCCTGGACCCTTTTACTACTATATCTACTATCTGTCCAAAAAGTTTTCAAAATGTATGCATAATTCAATTGTAGAGATGTAAACAAAGCCGTTTAGAGTAATTTGATCCAAAATGGTTAACTGTAGTTGAACTTACTGATTCTCTTTACAGTGGTGGTGAGAGGAACCAGGGATTTTATTAAATAAAAAAAAGTTTTCTTTGGTGACTATTTTGCCTCATGACACCCTGCATGTACCTCTCCACCAAGAATGGCTGTTAAAACAGCATACTCAAAGCTGTTTCATATAATAACATTCTGTGATTAAACTCTTGATGTCTGGTTCCTATCACCATCACTGTGAACAATTCTGACTCTGTAAGTGTCTCAACAACAGAGTATTTACCAAATCGCTCTGAATTACATGTACAGTACGTCTAAATGTACTGTGCTATTCTTCTCTTTCTGATGCACTTTTGGTCTAATATAAGACGCTAAACCCGACTGCAAAACAATACACATACTGTCACCAACATAACAGCATCAAATTAAACAGATAAAAGGACTTTGTAACTAAATGGTAATGACTAAGATGTAAGATATCTTTTCTCAGAAATGTACTTGAGTACAAGTAAAAGTATTGTCACTTAAAAATATTCAGGAAAGTACAAATCCATCAAGTTCCTCTGTACATGCAACTAGTTACTACCAACCTCTGCATAACTCACTATTCGTAAGTCATAAATCAGACCTCTCAAAAACAGCCATCAGTTTACCTTTACAGAAAGCTGACCACAGACATGAAGTGAAAGATTCCATCGCTTTAAGCAGGTCCAGAGCACAAAAAGAAGTAAAAGAACACAACAGATTTTGAGGATGTTTTGCAAACAAAATCCTTCAATATTCTCTATGGAAATTCTGAAATTCTCCATCAGAAGGCAAAACTGAAAAATAAAATCATCACGCGATCTCCACAGCATCAACTAAGAATTTCAACAATACTGTATTTAATTGTCTGCAGGGCTATAAAAAACGCATTCAGCTATTGTGAGGATTGCACAGCACAAAATAGCTATGACTTTTAGTGTACAACAAAAATCTAGGTTAATTTTGCCCTTGAGGAGTTCCAAAGCAAGCCTGAATATGAATTTATGTCAGTGATGTTCTGTTCCACTGTAAAGTGGTAACTGTGTAAATAAAGCACTTCACGTCTTCCAGAAGTTTGGATTCTGCACCATTCGTCTCTGAAAGTTTTCATACCTGGAGAGGGAGGACAAGACAGATCAATGATCAATCTGTATTGTACATTGTACACAAACTAGCCAGATAAATGAGCGTGAAAGAAAAACTATTGGCTGTACTGAACACTTACCATTTGAGAATGGAGCTGGCAGGAACATACATTTCTGATGGGTTTGGTGTCATCTGAGACTGTGACAGAGCGAAGGAGGAGGTAAAGTTGTACAGGCTCTCCAGCATCTTCTGTGTGAACTGTCAGCAGCAATATGGAAAAAGATCAATATTACAGCAGGACAGTGCTTGTTCACTAATTTTCAATTAGAAAATCAACAAAAAGTAATTTGAACAAGGGTCTTCAAACTTTTGGACACGGCTGTAGGTGCACTTTGTAGTTCAACAGTTACAGACTTTAGTCCATCTCTTTCTCTGCATACTTTGTTAGCCCTCTTTACCGTGTTCATCAGTGGTCAGGACCCTCACAGCACCACCACGGAGCAGGTATTATCTGGGTCCACTCACTGTCCACTCACTGACACACCTACCCTGCTGGTCAACCTTGTTGAGGTAACTTCAGCGACGATGGCTCATCTGTTTCTCTTCAGTGTTAATCAGCCTCTAGTCTTTCATCAGTGGCCACTTTGTGGACACAGGACACTGTTGGATGGAATTTTGTTTGGTGGACTGTTTTCAGTCCAGGAGTGACACTGAGCTGCTTAAAAACTCCAGTAACACTGCTGTGTGATTCACTCTGTGCAGAACACACTTACTAACATCACAGTGTCACTGCAGTGTTGGGAATGATCCACCACCCAAAAAAATCATCCTAACCACTAATGACTGGGGTAAAAGAGGGCTAACATATTATGCAGCCAAACAAATGGACTACAGTCTGTATCTATAACAGTACAAAATTACCTACACAGTAAGACCTAATGAAATGGCCAATGAGTGCAGATACAAGGCACCTAATAAAACAGCCAGTGAGTGAATTTCATATACAGTGCAGACACAGAGGTTCATTACCAGACACTTGGTAGCCTGACCCAAGCCGTACTTGGTCCCTGTCATACCAGTTTATCTAGAATTGCTCTGAGAACAGGTTTTTACTATATGCATTCTTGTCTGCTTACAACCCCAGAGGAACTGACAAGTCAACAGTCTCCCAACTTTTTTTCTTAAATGTATTTAATGCATTCTTAAATGTTCTCTCAAACCACATCCAGGTCTTCATTACGGTTACACAGACTTGTCAGTGTGGTTTAGGACACAGTATGACTTTATGTGAACTACAAAAATGAACAAAATCACACTGTGTAACTGAACACTGCAGGTTTTTAAACATGTGGTATTCACAAACCACCTCAGAAGTAAGAGTACTTGCTTCTAAACCACATCGGCAAGTCTGTGCAACTTTAACGAACGACCTGGATGCACTTCAAACTGGGTTTTGGGGATGTATTCCAGAAAATGATTTGGGTGACTATTGACTTCTAGTGTTTGTTAGCATTGTTAGCCTCGCTGTTCCAGTCCTAAACTAAAGAAGCAGAATGCGTACACCAAACGTGTCCTGGCTGATTGACTACATCTGGGTAAGATGGAAAACAGGGTACAATTGTTTTTCCGCTGAACTGTTCCTTTAAGGCCTATCCTGCCTCTTGCTTTTATTTGTCACCTGCGTAAAGGAATCTATAGTGGAGACGGCTGCGCTGGAAACCGGCGTCTGTTGAGCTAGCTGGTCCAGGGCCTCCACGGACACACCAACCTGGGCCACTGAGGGGGCTTGAGGGGCAGCCATCATGCCAAATGGATGAGCCCCACCCTCACCTAAAAAAAAAGGGCAAGTTGCATCTATCAGGTCAGATCAGGTGTCAGTTCTGATGGTAGAACAGGCAGAGATCAGAGAGTGAACTTACCAGCTTTGAGGCCTGATATTTTGAATATGGCACTTGGCTTTTCATTGGTTATGAAGCCGAGGAGCTGCCACACCTGCCCGACGTTGGGGTCAGGGAAAGAGAAGTACACGGCTCCACCCATGCCAGCAGGGAAAGGCACAGTTCCCAACATGAAGACCACCACGTGATTGACATTTTCATAGTCCGGCAGGTTAAAAACAAATTTGTCGCTCGCAACTTGCTGAGCGTCTGTCTGGACCTGCAGTGGACACGAGTGTCACGGTAAAATAGGGTTAAAAAAAAACACTACAGCTTACTTGCATGTTTTAACACAACTTACGTTCACGTGACCTGAGGTTTCACAGTAAATACTGCCATAATACAGGCCTGCCCACAGGCGAAATGAGCTCCTGACTTGAAGCTGGGTCACTTCAGCCACGGCCAGACAGAAGTATGTGGCTTTGTGACTTTGATTCTGCAGCTGTCGTACACTGCTAACACTAAGCTGGTACTCAATATCAGTATCGATTAGCTACTTACCAATCTGCCCGCAACTAGACATCCAAACATGATCAGTACTGTAAGCTGGCGGCTCGTTCAGCGGTTCAGCCGCGCCTGATGATCAGCTCTCTCAGTCCTGCAGAAATCGCCCCAGCACACTAACATTGTCTTACAGCCTCTCGATCACAGCCGGGATAAAACAGGCATTTGGGCTGGTTCGCTCTGTCACTCTCACTCGCTCGACCACTACAGCAGATTTTTGCTTGCTGCTAGAAACTTCGAGGAGAAGCAGTGTGGAGAGCTGCTGATAGGCCAGAGAGGAGCGCAACCCTCCAGCCCCGGAAACAAAACAGGAGGGGCGGGTTTACTGATGGAGGGAGGAGACCAGAGCCGGTTTATGCCTATAAGACCAGAGAACTTGTAGAGAGCCTCGTAAAGCAGCTCTGTATGAAACTACTGTAACATCGTCGTTCTGCAGTCGGCGCCGTGCTGTTTTGCCCATATAAGAAAGAAATAGAAATTTTACATGAGAAGAATAAACAGAAGTCACATTAAATGGTGCAGCAGTTTCCTTCTGGCGCCTGAGGCGTTATAATAACTGCTGCTCCATTTAAGGTGGAACGGGAAAAGTCGAACATGCAGCTTGCAAAAAAGAAGCTGACTTCAGCTTCATGGAGAGTAGAAAGGCATGATATAAAGGGTGGGTGGGGGTGCTCTGTTTCTGCTTGTCAGCTGAGTAACATTAACTTATTTTGCTGTTTCACAGAACCAACAGGTCAGACAATTGTTTTGTCCTGTTTGCTCATGGTTGTGATAGCTGATCACATCTGCTGCACCATTTAAACTCGAACTAGAAGCTAAATTGAGGTTTATGAGGAGCCCGGCCTCTTCCTTTTACCCCTTTATATGAAAATCATGGCTGCAAAACGCCAGAGGGCGCCCGCGAGCGAGTCCTCAATGAATGGGAGTGAACGGAGTTATATGGATAGAAGGAAAAGTTAAAATAGTTTCTAATCACTTTCCTAAAACTTTCCTTTAATTGTAGAAAGCAGAATGATGTATTTCATTACAACACCAAAGAAAACCTACCTGTATTTTCGTTTTTTTTAACAGCAAACGGGATCTGGGCAGCAGGATGCTAGCTATACTGCTTTACTGAGTCCTGATTGGTTGGCGAACAGAGCAGCTCATTGGCTGTTCATGCTCACTGAGGTCATGAACATGAACATGAGCAGTTTTTTGCTGTTGTTAATGGTTAAGCATGGCACTTAATATGGATTTTTCCCCCAAAATGTTTTAATTAGATCTCTGAAAAAAGTATAAACAGAGTATAGATACTAAAACTGAACAACAGACTTAATGCCTTATGGCTCAATATCCAGCCTACACAGTTCTTTGTAGAGAAACTTATCAAATCGGATTTCTTTTCAATGGTGGAGATACAAACCTCAGTCACAATGTCTACAACACAAATATAGCCATTTTATTTACTGCCCTTTATTTATTTACGGTATACACAATATAACTAGTTTTTATAATGAGTGTTGACAATGGTAAAGTAGTTTTGGGTCCTATTTTGCATTACAACGCCTGGATGTACCCCTCTGCTATGAATATATTAAAATACACGTTTAGGCCAAAATCGTCTCTAAACTATTGCAGGGCAATGTCTCAGGCATCAGACAGCATATTCATGCATGTTTCAGGTAACAATATTCTGTGAGGTAACTTTTAGAGGCATTAAATTCTTCCCATAACCACCACTGTGCACAATTTTGTGTAAGTTTCTCTGGAATGGAGCGTTTTAAATAAAACCGCTCTGAATGTATTTGCTTACAACTTAGCAATTGAATTATGCAGATAATTTGCAAAACTGGTGGAATCCTTTTTTTTAATTCAAAGTTTCCTAAAACTTGAACAAGTAAAAATTGTACTAGTTTTTAAAATTCAACAAACAGGATTTTAGCATGCAAGACTTTTGGTTTAATTATTTATATTTCAACATCTGCAAGAATTATGTCATCTTTCACGTAAAAAATACATTAATGATATAAATGATATATTAATTAGTAACTTATTTACATGGAGAAAAGATGATTATTCAAATTTAACATTTTTATGCAACTTTTCACAGGCGTACTGAGCTAATAAAGCTCAGAGTCTACAAACTGCAGTTCATATTTACAAATTAAATGTTGGCAATAGCAATCTAAATTACCTGCCATTTTATTAGAGATTCCTGTATGTGCAATTATTCTAATCAGTTATTTTCTATGTTTATTGTTATATGATTTTGGGGATCAAAAAAGTTCAGGCATTTTCACTTTGTTAAACTATTATGCTTATATTATTATACGCACACTCAGACTTGGGTTTGATCATACAGGTATGCGGAGGGTGAAACTGAAAATTAATGAAATTTGTCTATATGCAAATATTAATTCTAGATAATTAGTCCTCTGTAGATATGCTGCAATTCAAGAAGGAATAATCTGTGTTACCAGGTAAAATTAACTTTTTCAAATATCAGGTTTCCACTGAACCATGTTTCAGTGGTGCAAATGAACTTTCACTTTGTTCCACAACACACAACTGTACAGTACTTAAATCCACCCCTTTTATATTGGCTGAAAACCTCACATGATCCTGTAAACTGTTTTTAATTTTTTTCAAAGCAAATTCACGTTAAAAAATACTATGAAAAAATTGGTACAAAATAGGTTTTATTAAAGACAGAAAAGGTGACAATAGACAAAACAAAAGCAGAGGTGCGACACATCTGAGGTAAGCAACTTCCACAGCCTAAGCAGATTGGACCTACAGAGCATCCATAGTCCAGGTTCCTCAGCCTCAAAGACTTTCTGAGAAGAGCAGTCATTTGTACTGGTCCAAGGAATGAAACGTCTTCAGCGTAGCCTGTCCCAGCGCCAGATAGACGCGTCATCACAAACAGCTATGAGAATACTGCTGTCCCTGCTGAAGCTGGTCTGTCGGATGGCTGAGGTGCATTTCGGGAGGGTGAGGGTGGTACACCTGTAGAATGAGAGAGGCAGGCGTAGAACAATCCTGTAGCAAACTGACTGGCTGAAAAGCACATAGACTAAAAGACAGAGGGGTAACGAGTAGAAAGATGGTGAGGAATAATCTTACTTTGCTTTATGAGGATCTTCAACCTCCAGGTCCCAGACATAAAGCTTTCCGACTTGATTACCCAAAGCCAACATCTATAACAACAACAAATATGGTTACTTATGTGCAGTAAATCTATGGTGTTAGTCATGTAATGGTGTTTTGTGTAGTTTTTCATACACACCTTCTGCCAGAAGTCCATGGAGAAGCGCATGTACCAGATGTCACACTGGCTGTAGTCAAAGCGTCCCAGAATGGTCACGTTAGACTCGTTACGCTTGATGTGGTCGATATCATCCTCCATCTTCCCGGGTTTCCAACACACAATAGCATTTTCACAGGACTAAGGCAGAAAGAGGTTCAGGGAAAGAATGAATGTTAAAGGACGTATCGAATGCTAAAAAATGTAAAATTAAAAGGTAAATAGTCAGGACCTGATGTAGATTTTTGTGGCAGTTTCAGGCACCAATCGTATGCATTCTGCCTGGGTACTTCATACGACATGGGTGCCCATGCCTAAAAGTGCAGTTTATGGGAAATGCAAAACAGTGCTTTCCTCCCTCATGTAAATTATCACCGTCGGAACAAAACCTTATACAGCCAATTTGCAATTTTTTAAAATTTTCAGCATGATCTAAAAATACCAGGTGTTCTTCACACAGTATAATTATTATACATTATGAATGAACCAATAAAAATGGTCTAAAATCGCTTGGATTAAAATATTTTTACATTTACTTACATTGAAAGTAAACAGTGATTTTTTCCCTCTCCTGAAAAGGCGCAAATGAAGTGTGAATAACTACATATTCCATTCAGTTTACTAAATGTTTGAGCAGTTAACAGAGGCTGTGTAATTTTCTCAGCTTTTGAAAAACAGGTGTATGTTTGCAGTAATGTCTCAAGGGATTCTTGTAAGGAGAATTCCTATAACAGTGTCAGCAGTCATAGTGGCTAAATGGAGGCACGAGCCTTGAACATATGCTGAAAGAAGATTTACCAACAGAGCAACATTATTTCAGCTCTCAGGATCAGATGTGCACATGCAAAAACACTGCACTGAAAATCTTCTTTTATTTTCTTTTGTCCATTTTTCTATTTTCTTTGCCAGAGTACAACACCCCGACAATATTTTGCCTGGGAAATAACTTCATTTATTAACAGCGCTACCTCTCTGTCACTTTCATCCTTTTTCTCCCAAGTTTGTTTCCATCTCCATTTCTACACTGTGCCTTTTAAACCTCACAAGCATGCAGTTAGTAGGTGGTCCTATACCAGGGATGTCCAGTCTTATCCAGAAAGGCCTGGTGTGGCTGCAGGTTTGCATTCCAACAAAGCAGGAGATCACTCGATCAACTGTTTGACTGAAATCAGTTGATTAAAGAAGTGGAATCAGGTGCTTGTCTGGAATGAAAACCTGCATCCACACCGGCTCTTTGTGGATAAGAGGGGTGTCTTATGCGCAGCCTTAGTCAGTCAATCACATAATAATTTTAGACACATTCTGAGCACATACTGCAGTCACATCTGGCCCAGAGTCTTACCTTAGAGAGGATTAAATCCCCAAGCCAGCGCACACAGTCTACATAATTTCTGTGAATGTCTCTTGTGGAGAAGTCAGGGAAGTGGATCTTCTGAGACACAAAAGGCCTGAAATACAAAAGAATTAGAAACAATTAACCCCCTGTAATGATCTGTGCTTTTTAAAGCAGTGGTTTGACCAAAATTAAACTAAATACACCGTTTATCCCATACCCCAGACTGATCAGCAAAAGCATGACTGGTGTCCAAAGTTTGCTTTTTTAAAATCTGCTTATGTGGTTTTTGACACTATGGCATACGATATACTATAAAAATGGATAACAGTATGGACAAAATTCAGGCTTTAAGATGGGCTCTACAGTTTTCAGCTATGCAACAATTTTTATGAATAACTACATACAGTGTCACTAAAACACATACGCACATCTATTTGAGATTACATACTGCAATTTGAGATAACTACTATTTAACCATTTTTTTTGCACAATGCTAATGTTTGCCGTTTAAGCTTCCTGTTATGTATGAGCTACATTAGCCTTGTAGCTCCAGTGCAAAACTAAAGAAAGATGCTTTGGACACTAAACATGTCTTGGCTGGCTGACTACATTTGGGGGAGGTTTGGCTGATCACAGGGGTGGTGCCATTTCTTGTTTCAACAAAAAAAAATAGTTAA